CTAAGAAATAATCTTTGAAGATTAGTATTTGTCAGAATCAAAAAAATATCATTTTTTTTTTTTTATCAATTTAAAAGAAGGATCCTTTTTATAATACTGAAAAAGTGTCAAATTGATGCATGACTTTTACAGAGTTATCTGCAGTGTTAACTGACACATCTGGTCTGGTGCTGCTGCTATATATTTAAAGATTCTTGATAAAATCCAGAGAAGAATTTGCAATATTATTGATCCTGACCTGGCACCATAATGCAGCTTCCCTGCCCATTTTCTGTAAATACTTTCATGATAATTGTTCAGATGAACTTTCCTCTATGTTAATTAAACTTTATGAATTTAAGATCAGTACTAGATTGGCAGCAAGGTTTCATCATTTTACACTTGAAATGGCTAGATTTCATCATAGTGATTTTCCAAGTGTAGCTTAGATGTGACACTGGGGGTACCCAGTGAGGATCGAACTCACTACTCAGTCTTAATTGTTCTAGCAAGCCAAGCTTGCTAACCATTACACCACCTCGAGGTGCACCAGATTTCATCATAAGTTGTATAATAACAATTTTTTCTATTGCACTTCTCGCTTGTGGAACTCTTTTCTGACTTCTTGCTTCCCAGTCAGCTTTGATCTTCAAAAATTTAAATGCAATGTCAATCATTATCATCCATCTGAATTCCTTTTCTTTTATTTTTCTCTCTTCATAATAGTGTCTTTTTTTTCTCATATTCTCTAACACTCAGTAATTGCCTTTTGTCTTAGTGGCTTTATTGCATTGCTTGGGGTGAAATGATAAAAAAACAAATTATCTCTCTGGTAAACAAATAAATCCAATTTGCCCCCAATTTTGTCTGTTTCAATTCCTGGAAAAATATATTGATTTATAAACTGAAGTAAAAAATGCAGCAGATTTTTGGACACCATTTTGGATGAAAAAAAAACCTGCGTCTTACACACACAGGTTTACCGTATATTTTATATTTTAAAAAATATTTATTATATTTTCCAATGAATAAATTAGAAACCAATCAGATATGGCAATGTGTGTTAATCACTGTCATCCCTGATAATATAATGCCAAGAAACAATCAACCTTTCTGCATTTCTAAGTCACATTCTTATGCGTATAGTCTTCTGTAGTAAAAATAGCTGAGCCACCTTCAATGAAAAATTACCTTGAATCTTTGAATCCAGGAAAAAAAAGTTACAGAAAAAAAACAAACAAAATAGGACAATGCATATATTGAGTCTGCATCTTTTCTTAATTTCCTCATCTTTATTGTCACATTTACAACATTTCAGCTGTTGTATGCTCTGGTCTTCTTCAAGTGATATTTGATGGAATTTCAAACGGTGGAGGTAGATTTTCTAATGTTCCTTTAGTGTTGTAGCATACCTACGGACAATAATGGGTATGTCCCATTCACATAAATACAGTAGTAAATACTGTATGCTGGTCTGCAGTTGGAGATTCATTGTGAAATTCACTTGACTCACTTCTATCTGTTGATGACTACTATGCACTTCTGGCAAATCTTATATGTGTTGTTCGTATCCTCATTATTATCATTCATTACCAACCTTCGTGTGATTATTCTATTCAGTAACTTTCCCTAGGTTACAACATTTAGATATTTCAGTTTTAATTAATTTGCCTTGATAAGATTTTATTCTCACCGCCTCCAAATTTTTGTTTTCCTTGCTGAATTCTTTGGGGACAGTAGTGAGTGAATTTTGGGGAGTTATAAACCCAATCTTTCTTTAACAGATTTTTTTTAATCCTAACCCTGAAGACAGCATTAATAGTGGAGATCTTGGATTTCGGTGTGGATCAACAATATTTGGATTTAGTAAAAATTATTTTTTTTTGTGAAAAATAATTTGTATACCTCCTACCATGGAAATTATTGACAGTAATAAGTGTGGTTCAAAAATCTACTACAATGGGTTCCCGCCAAAAATGTCACTCGCAGAAACAAATTGTGACTACTTCTGTTTTTCTTTTTTACTTAGCCAAAATTGTGACTTTTTCTGCGACTTTATTTCTGTGACTTCTTTAATATGATTTTATTTCTGACTTTTTCTGTAACTTTTTTCTTATGACTTTATTACCAGCCACAGAATCTTTTTAATAGCACTACCCACCTTATGATGAGCCATATCTAATGCAGCCCATGGCCACATGATCGGATCTAGTGTACCAATTCTGAAGAAAAAGTAACAAAAAAAAAAATATAAAGTTGTGCTTTCTGTCTGAGTGCAGAAAGGAAAAAAATACTTTCTACTAGCCAGAAGGTCTACAAATACTATTTAATCTGACCAGACTTCATGAACAAACATATCTTATCAGGGTTGGTCCACTCTGCAAAAAGGAATCTAATGGAATCTTATTTAGCAGAAAAGACTCTCACACAAGGTCAGATACTCGAAAATAAAACCGAGAACAGTTTTAAATTCTAGTTTGCAGATCACTGGTTCCTTCCTTGTAATGCTTTGTGGAAATCATATATGCAAACCTTCCCATTTGATGGAAAAACAGGAAGAGCTAGAAGCAGGAGGAGCCTTCTTTACATGTCTCATACATGATAAACTGATGTTCATTTAAGTCTCATTTTTTTTTTGTAAACACATCACCCCAAACAAGGTAATAAAGTCACTAAGACATAAAGAATTACTGAGTAATAGAGAATATAAGGAAAAAAAAACAGGTTCACTGTTTCTTGGGGAAAAAGATTTCTCACTGAAAAATCCAATAAATACTTTTTAAAATAAAAAAATATATCATAATCCTGTGTGTGTAAGATGCAGTTTTTTTTTATTATCTAAAATGGTGTCCAAAAGCCTAATACATCTTATGCTTTAGTTTAGAACTCAATTCCATTTTTTCCAGGAATCAAAAATGGACAAAATCATGTCGAATTGGATTTATTTGTTTACCAGAGAGATATCTATCTAATAATGGTGGATTCTAACAAAGGGAAAAAAATCTTTCATAATGTTTCTTTGAGGTAAAAATATTTTTTAATTTACAATAAAAAATACAAAGTTTACATAATGCTTACAAATCAGAAAAGTATATATATATATATATATATATATATATATATATATATATAGTCATTATCAGGCTTTCATGATGCTTATGAATCACAAAGGTAAAGAAAATCTACATTTTTTTCTTGTTCTTTTTCACAGGGTTTGGTCATTTTCATAGCTCTAAAATCAGGTGCGTTTTATACATGAAAATAAACTTTTTCCCCTGGAATTTCTCTGGGGTTTTTTTTTAGATAGAAAATATACTGTAATCCTCAGTGTGTAAGATGCAGGGGGGTTTTTTCATCCAAAATGGTGTCCAAAAGCCTAATGCATCTTATGCTTCAGTTCAGAACTCAATCCCATTTTTTCCAGGAATCAAAAACAGACAAAATTGGGTCAAATTGGATTTATTTGTTTACCAGAGATAATTTGTTTTTAATCATTTCACCCCATGAAAGGTAATAAAGCAACTAAGATGAAAAGGGTTACTGAATGTGAGAGAATAAGACAAAAAAAAAACACTATTAAGGAGAGAAAATAATAAAACAACAAGAAGTAAGCAGACAGAAGATAACAATTAACATTGCATTTAAATTATTGAAAATCAAAGTTAACTGAGAATCAAGAAACCCAAAGTGATCTCCACAAGCTACAAGTGTAAAAGAAGAAACTATTAACATAAAACTTACAGTTATATCTAGCAACTATTTCAATTGTAAAATAATGAGACTTTACTGCCAATCTATCACTGAGCTTAAATTCATAAAGTCTACTTACCATAGTAGCTAGTATTTGTATAAATTGCAAATTTTATTATAACCTAATTATGTACAATAATGAATCATATGCAATATAGGTGAATAATTCAACTAAAAAAATTGAAATCTAAATAGAAATTAGAGACATGCCATAATAGATTATTCCATCTTAAATCAACAATCTTCTGTGGCAGTTTTTAGCATCAATTTGAGATTTTCTTGTTAAAAAGGTGAATAATTTTAACACATTCAATATCATGGATAAAAAAAAGTGAATTTTATGTAGTGTTTTTCAAGACATAAGCATGAGCAAAATAAAATCACAGACAAGGAAAAAAAAAGGCCCCAAAATGACATCAAAATCCTCAGAAATCTTTCTCCAATAATAGTCAATTTAATTTCTAACATATAAATGGAGGTAGAAAAAAAGCAAATAGTGAGAGTCACAATGCACTGTCCGAGGGACTGTCAAATCAGACACCATCCTCCAGCCGGCCTTGACACTATATTACCTTCCAAGGGAAGAAGGAATAAGGCCTATAATAGTTATAAATCATTTCAAGATGGCCGCTCTCAGTAAATAAACAAATGAAAATAATCTGGAGTTGTCTTGTTTGCACTTTTATTTAAAGGCAGAATGTACAGATACTCCACTTTGATCAGTCAAGTTATCCTTCTCCAATTGGTAGTTGTATATGACACAAAGTCATTTTAATGTGAGATTGATTGATTTATTTTTATGGCTTATCAACCTTTTTCACGTTATTCAAAGTCATAAAATATTTTAAGATTGCAATACTTTTTGGAAGTAATAATGATTTACTTATACAAGTCCAACTAATTAACCCATAGCTGGGGGAGAAGATGTGGATTTTATACGTTTTCCAAGTGTATTTGTGCAAAAGTCAATATAACAAACTCAGGTGGAATTGAAACTTGACTCACTGATTTGCAATTCTGAGCCATTATTCATTACACCACCTACACATCCAAGCTTACAGCACCATGTATTCTTCAGTGAACACCTATCTAAATGCTGACCAAGCTTGACATTGCTTAACTTCAGTTAACATACATGAACTAGTGTTTCAACATATGGTCATAAGCAAGTTATGCCCATAGGATGTCTAGCTTAAAAAGGTATCTGAGAAGTACCACTAAGAGAAACTTTGACACTCAGCATCCCCTTGTGCCTTAATGGATTTATTTGTTTTCCCAAGCTGTCACCCATCTAGGTACTGACAAGGATCAATGTTGCTTAACTTCAGTGATCAGAAGAGAACTTGTATTTCAACATGATATGGTCATAAGCAAGTTATGCCTATAGGATGTGTGCTTTTACAATAGTATTTGTATTTCAATGTTATATGGCCGTAGCCAAGGACAAAACTGCTCAGTCCCTGCAATGACTATTACACTGATGTTGGTATACCAGAGTCTGCAAAAGTAAATATATAGTAAGTATTATACCAGTATTATCATAATGGTTCTAGAATTCATTTTTAATATTTTTATTTTGATAATTTTTATAATAATAATAATAAATATAAATAACAATTTAATAATAATAAATGTTTTGCAGGTAAAGAGGAATATGTGAATGATGGGGGCAAACAGTTTGAACATTTAAGGTTTGGTTTGGTTTGTTTTACGGCATATCAACTTCAATGGGTCATTTAATGCCGACAACATTTTTTTCCTGGTAATATTTTTGTTTTGTCAAAAATCTATTCCTGTTAATATTTTTTTCCTCAAAAATGTATAGCTGGCAATATTTTTTCAAAAACGTATAGCTGAAAATTTATTTCTGGTAATAATTTTTACAAAGTATTTCTGGTATTAAAACCCATTTTTACACTTTTATAATGCTTTTTACCTCAGTTTTGGGGTCAACTACCTGTGACCCCAACAGGTTCCACCACCCCAGGTCAGGGTTGACCTGGGAACACCAGCAATCAAGAGGTGGTTCCACGCTCACCAAAACCTCCCAACCAGAGGCCCTACTGCTGGACGCAAGCTCATCGTCTTACCCAGAATGCGAATGTAGTTTATCGTCATACCCAGGATGTGAACATTTAAGGGATTGATATGTTTATTATTGATATGTTTGTATAATCAATACAATTTTGTTTTATGTGTATTTTTTTTTTGTTTCTCATTACTGTATATCTACTCCCCCAACACTCCATATACTGATTCTTTCTCATTAATGCAATGAGGAAGGTGTTGCAATAATGTTGGGATCCCCAGGGCAAGGCTTTGCTGTGAACTGTCCAAAGACAGAACCATGGCAGGGAGGTGAAGAATAGATACTACACTTTGATCCCAACCCAAAGCTAATGAACGAGTGTGACGATTCAAGGCAGATAGCTGGTGAGTAACACTTTGCCACTAGAGAGAACATAAAGATATTCTGGGATGAAGGAGAAGTGCTGATTTTTTTTTTTTTTTTTAAGAGTGTGAGTCACCCATTACAAAATCTGGGGTCCACTCGAGGTAGAGGATTACGTCAGGAGGTCATTTGTAAATATAGGTGAGGGAGATAATGATTAACCCTAGCCTTGAATAGGTTAAGATTGTAGTGATCGGGGGTGAAAAAAATCCTGTCATTTTTAATTTTTTTTTATTTTGATCACATTCACCCCAAGCAAGGTAGTAAAGCCACTAAGACACCAAAGGCTATTGGATATGGAAGAATTAGAAAACAGAAACATTACTAAGGAGCAAGAACAAAAGAAGAAGAATCAAGAGAACAGTTGATAGCGATTGACATTGCATTTAAAGTTTTGAAGATTAAAGTTGACAGGAAGGCATGGAGCTGGAAGGGAATTCCACAAGTGAGAAGTGTGAGAAAAGAAACTGTTAGCATAGAAATTACAGTTACATCTTGCTAACTCAACTCTAAAATGATAAAGCCACGTCACTAATATAATACTGCATTTAAATTCAGAAAGTCTAGGTACCATACTGAAGAACTCATCTAAACAATTACCATGAAAGTATTTATAGAAAAGGCACAGGGATGCAACATTATGGTGATAGGAAAGAGACTAAAACTGAGATGCCATATCAGTACCAATAATATTGCTGATTCTTTGGATTTTATCAAGGATGAAAATAAACACTGAGCATTCTTTATGAGTCAGTTTTAGCATTTAATATTTCAAATTCTATATTGAGTTAATAGGACTCGCTTGGATTATACCAACGGATTTCTACCTGTATATATTAGTAAATATACACATTTTTCCTCACCAGCAGCATTCTTCGTGTGTTCATTTGAGACTGATTGTTATATAATTTAACTATGTTAGATAAATAAGATTATCATAATGGTGAAGTGGTCCATATTTTATACGGGGAATTGTGGTTAAACAAAAAGAAAATTCTTTTGTATTTAAAATAAACATAAATATAAGAAGAAAAAAAAAAGAAAAATTTAATAAGACACACAGCCACAAAAATTATTACAAGTTACATAGGTAGAATTATAATCTCTATCTATAAAAGGCAGGATGTGTGTGTGTGTGAGTGCGTGTGCGTGTGCATGTGTAACGAATGCACGGCCGCAATTTTCGATGGATTTGCACCAAAATTTACATGCACATGCTCCAAGTTAGTAGGAAGGCCAAGACCAACTTTGCATTTCCCAACTCCCATCGATAGTGGAAATAATCATTTTTTTCCTGCTTCTACAGCAGTTTTCATGTAGTTCTCGGCCATTTTGTATTGGCCAGAATGAGAGTCTATCGCTGGCTGCCACGAATAGGCAGGAAGATTCTATTGGCCAGCATGAGAGCCAACAGCTGACTGACACGAATGTTAACTAGCATGCTATCATGCAAAAAAAATCGATAGCTGCATTCGTCACAAGTGGGAAAAATTTAAATCTGCATGGCACTTTACTCCAATTGGCTCATTTGGTTGCTTAAACTCAATGTTGATTCTGATTCTGCAGAACTGGGTTGGGCATGAAAAAGTATTTGTTGTTAACGTTCTTTTTTCATTCGGTTTTTCCAGTTACAAGTCCTTTTTTTAAAGCTGATTGTTTTGTGTTCATTTTGTTTAGTTCTTTTTCATAACAGATTTAATGTTTAGTATAGAGCTTAGAAAAAAATTCGCAGTGTGAGATAGGCAAGAAATAAGGCATGTAGCAACATCAGCACGGCAAAGGGCACTCCTTTAAAAGGCAAGGAAGGGCAAAAATATTTTAAGTCAAGTGAAAGCGATTGCTGTATGAGTCGTACGATTTTTGAATCAAGCACAGGCAACACCAGGCCATGCTGCTAGTGTAAATATAAATATCACATATATTACATTGAGCAATATTTTATTAACACCAGCACTCAATGTGCAATATATATATATATATATATATATATATATATATATATATATATATATATATATAATTATGTGAGTGTGTGTATCTTTGCACAGGTACATATGAGGGGGCTCATATACATGTAGAGGGTACAATGGATAAATTGTCATCTCAGTATCACAAAAATGAAAATAACACTGACATCTTATTTTAACAGATATATTTACCCAAATTACACAACAATATCTTGAAATACTAAAGAGTAAATTTCTTCACTAAAATTGCCATTGGCTTCAACCACAGCCTCCAGATGACTTCAGAATCTCCTGCAACTCTTCTGGATGGTCGCCTTGTTTAAGTTGGTGATGTTGTCATAATCCTTGCCTTCAATTCATCTTTGATATTACAAGGAGTTTTTGTTGGTCTCTCACTCAACTGTGCTTCACACATAATAATCAAGGGGGCCGCAGTCGGGGGAGTTAAGTGGCCAGGGGTGATGTGGTTGCAGAAATTGTTAGACAGCCATAACTGGGTTCTCCTGCTTGTTTGGCATGGTGTTGAGTTCTGTTGCCAGACATAGGGCCTACCAGCAGCCTCCCTCTTCACTCAGGGCAGCACTACCTCCTCAAGAAACTTGATGTAGGCCTCTGTGTTGAGTCTGAGGCCCTCACCAACAAATTCAGATGTTCTTTTATTTTGAGCTGCCATACCTTCATAATCATCATTAGACTCATCCAACTCTTTCCGAATCCAGGGCATTGTTCTCAGATTGTCATCCCAAACACTCTGAAATGTACATATTGGAGCTTCCACATGAATGCCAAGCAGTACAGCATGCCGTTTCAAAATTTTTGGCCACGTATATTGTGTCATGGAGCTCTTTTTCTCACAGACGGTGCCCAACGGATCTCACTGTGTAGTTGACAAAATCAACAGACATGCAAGAAATGAGGAATATAAAATGGCGGCAATTTACCAGTCGCACCCTGTATAGTGTGCGTAGAGGTGTACAGGTTTGATGGGTAAATTGTCGCCATTTTATATTTTTAATTTCTTGTATGCCTGTTGTTTGTTTTTGACCCCCAACACCATTTGGTAATCCCAATATGTATACAAAAAGCCTTCCTATTCACCCACAGCTTTCCTTCTATCTTTTTGGTCGATTGAGGGCAAAGCAATAATTGTTACCTAGCAGCACTGAAAGACGACGAAAAAATAATGCACTTGTCTGCATTTATCTCTTAACATATAACTGCACCCAGTTGCCTAATCCTCTTGCAAATGCAATCTCCATTATCTGATTGTTTGCTTTGTGCTTTAGGTGATCACTTTCCGAGCTAGAATATCGTTTCTTCTCTGTGTCTCTTGTAATATGTCGCAAATAAATAAAAACTGCATCTTAATTACCATGTCACTTGATGGTCAGCTACAGCCAGTTTAGTTACTTTTTATCACAACTATTACTTAGGCCATCAATCTATGACTGTGAGTCGACAGCTTCTGTTTCTGTGTCATGTGCTTCAGGAGGTGGTTGATCGCGGCTCTCCACAACTTCCTATCTTCTGTAGCATTTAGCAATATTTGTCTTTTTACTATTCCTTGCATTGTTCTGACATTTGTTTACACAAACTAGTTAAGTGATTATGGCTCTCCACTACTTCCTGTCATTTGTAGCTCTAAGTAATATGTCTCTCTACTATCCTTCCCAATCCCTGTTCTGTCATCCATTTGCTGTTTAAATAAGTGATAATGGCTCTCCACAACTTCCTATCATTCTTAGGCTCTAATATTTATCTCTCTACTATACTTCCCACTCCCTACTCTGACATCCATTTACAGAAGCTCTTCAGGTAGGTGATCATGCCTCTCTACTACTTCCTATCCTTTGTAGTTCTAAGTAATATTTGTCCCATTACTATCCTACAATTTCCTGTTCTGCCATCCATTTAGACAAACTTTTTAAGTAGGTGAACATAGCTCTCCAC